TTGTCAAGGCAGGCAGGACTTGTGCGGCCTAGGCAGTCCAATTGTAAGCTGAAAGTGGCTCAGAATATTTTGATATTATGATTATACAAAAAAGGGAGGTCATAACATGAGTTAGCGTGGAAAGTCTGATTTTTCAGAGCAATTCCCCTCCATCCGGACCGTGTCTGACGACAGAGGTTGCATAGCTTGTGTCATCCAACGCAGATGAGTAGGCAGTATTATAATGCATTATAATACAGCATTATAATGAAAAGTGTAGATAGTATTCTCATGTTCTACACGCTTGCCTACACATTAGGCTTTAAATTCCTTTCAAATCTCTGTCATAGATGGGACATAGCACACAATATTCTATTCAAATAGTTCTGGGGCTGCTGCACTGCTTACCTTACCCAGAGTCACCCTCCCATACCCATCCCCTCACACACAGTCTAAGCTGAGATTATGTTTCCCCCTGAGCTTCCAAGGTTGACTCAGGAACCTAATACCAAATCTTCATTACACAGTTAAAAACCCAGATCTTTAAAGACAGAGGTAATTCGAACCTGCTTGTCAAAGATAAGTCCCTTCCCGCAGAAACACTTGGCTGTGCCACTAGGGATAACATGTCAAATCAGTACATGGGAAATACAAAAAAATTCTCAATACTACATTCTATCCAAACATGGTCCTGTTCCCAAAATAAAGGGAAGCGGTCATCTCCCCGTTCCCGCCCCAACCCCTCTACCCTCTCCATGTCTCTCTTCCCACTGAATTTCTTGACCTCACTGTCACATTGAACCCCCCACTTCAGCTCTCACATCCCAGGAAAGCCTAGCCCTTCCCCCCATGCTTAGACATTACTATTAAAATCTCCAAAGAGTGAAAATTCTTTCCATTTAAAACATTCTAAAATTTCTTGGAGAAATTAAATGTTAAAATTTTCACCCTTTATAAAAGTTAAAAAATGGAAGACATGGAGGTTTTCTGATCTCATAACTGCCACACACTTCTTAATGCTCAGTCACCGATATTTGCTTATGTGGCACAGAGGATGGACATTTAAGAGAAAACGAGCTCCAAAAAGATACTTGGAGGAAAAAAAGGGTTTCCATGGCTAAACAAGTTTATGATCCATTGTAGAGTTCTACCTTTTCCAGAACAGCAAAGGCAAAAGCCGTCTTTTGCTAATAAATGAGAACGTTGTATTTTACTAACATAAGACAATCAGTACCTTTGTAATACCTTTTGTAATTCAGTAATGAATCTCATGCTATCATCATAGTCTCCAGCTTACCTGCCTCAGGAGAGAGCCCAGATTCCTTTTCTCAGGCTATCTCAATCTTCCCAAAAAGCATTCTAAGAAACTAAAAGTCTTATCTTCAAGGTAATATTCAAGCTTTTTTTTTTTTTTCATTCAAGCATTTCTAATCAGTAACGGGAATGTGAGGGAAAAGCACACAATGTGTGTGTAAGGCTGCCTCTCACCCACAGCTCTGATCCCCACCAGAGCCGTGAAGACAAACAGTAACTGCGTTTGCCACATACCAGCTGTCGGATGAATTCCTGAATGGAGTTTGGATAAACGAGCATAGTGATTGCAATCAAGGTGTTCAGGGCAAAATCAAAGATCTGGTAACAGAAGAACGGGATGATCCAAGCCGCGTGTTGCTGAACATGAGAGAAAACAAGACATGTGTGTGTTCAGTATTACAAAACATTGTCTGGATGAATTCAGGGAAATCTTTTCTTAATCTAACCAGAAATGGAGGAATAGAAATTCATTGAGCCAGGTCATGATGGCAACTGGCATGCCAGAGAGAAGTGGTCAACAGACGAGTCTCAGTGAACACTTCTGATACTAGAATACTGGTTTTCCCAAAAGTGCCTAACAGTAGGGAGAGATTTCATCTTGCAAATATTCTTATAGGAAACAGTAATTACTCCTTACAGATTACACATGTAAGGCACAGATCCAAAGCTGCTTACCTTGTATGCTCCGTAAGTAGCCATTGCACATATCAGGAATATGAGAAGAGAAATTGCAATAGTAATGCACATTTCTGCCAAAAAAGTAAAAACAACAACACAAAAGACAATCAGTAATAGAAATACTGTTTAAACATGTTGTGGTCTTTCCTCAAACGCATTCTGTTTATAAACCTATTATAAGTGAGAACTTTATATTAAGTAAACCACCAGAGTTCTTCTGGGTTTTGAGAAGATGAGAGTTAATGGAAGTTAAGTGCCCCAAAGATGGACACTTTAGACATCATATTAATGTCTAATTAAGAGACTGACTTACACATAAGTTTATTAAAAAAATAGATAATGGTTATGAGTATTTAAAAATATATATATCTTTCCACCACAGAATTATACATATATATAAAAAATGAATTAGTTAGTTCTCTAATATGTGAGTCTGACTTACATTTTATAAACTTGTGTTTCTCAAGGGCCCTCCATGGTGGCGCAACAGGTTAAAGCACACCACTATGAAGCTAACTGTAGCCATTTCAACACGAGTTCAATCCCCGGCCAGGGAGGTGACCCACATGGCACAGCAGACCTCTCCTGATCCACCCACTGCTCCCCTCAGCAGTGTACTTCCTCAGTCTGCCTGTTCTGCTCCCCACTCTGTCTCTGGTGAATCCTCTCACCCCCTGCACCCATGTCCTGTACCCCATCCCAGTTCTGTATGCATAAATAAATAAAAAGAAGAAGAAGAAGAACTGGAAGCCTGATTCCCTATTCCTGAAAATACCAAAATATCTAAATTGCTATGTGATGTTCTTACTGGCATCATCCATGAACTCAAAGTCACCTCCTAGTTCAGAACTTGTAAAGTAGTACTGATCTGGATCAGCCAGGGCACTCAACAGAATCAGCAGCACCACAGCATTGATGATCTGCAACAAGAAAGAAAAAATGTAAATAACTCCAGGAAGTGGTCGAGACTACAGAAAATTATGTTGGCTACATTGAATTTATGTTGGCTACATTGAGTTTGACTTCAACAAATGCTTAATTTTCAACTATATCCCACTCCTTATGGGAGAGGAACAGTACCAAGGCAGACACACATCAGTCCATCCAGATAAGGCCTAGGGCCTATGCATGGCCTAGCATGTGGACACCAGCTGGACTTCCCCTCACTGCCTTCCTCTGCCAGGCATCCTCAGCAGTGCGCTCTGAAAGTAGCCCACCACCCGCCGCTGTGAAAGCTCAAGCACACTCGGGCATCGTGCACATTCTAGTGAGCAACCACAGATTTTTTCAGATGATCGGACATTCTTCACCAGCTCAAAAGATCAGAGCTTCAGGAGATTCTGGAAAATTAATACAAAGCAACTTCAAGAGCCAGAACAGTTCCTCCGGCAACAGCACATGTGAGCCCCTTCCTGTTCCAGGCCCACATTTTATCTTCTGGCTATTGCGGACTACCTACTCCTCAGGGGCTTCAAACTCAGCTAAGTGGCTATCATCTTCTTAGCACTCCTGCCTCTGTTCCTCCTTTCTCTATCTTAAAAAGTAGCATCACTAGTAATAATTAAAAGTGGCAGGTACTCAGGTACTATGTTAAGAAAGTGGCATAGTACTCAGGTACTATGTTAAGTGCTCTACGTAGACTCCCTCTTTACGCTCTACAATTACCTAATGAAGTACTAAAATTATCCCCATTTTGTAGATGAGAAAACTGAGATTTAGGGTTAAGAACAAACTCAGGCAGCTAAGAAACTGGAGAGAAAGATTTGAATCCATGTTGTCTCCTGCTCATAACTGACAGCTGACTCTCTTTGGGCTTAACCATCTTCCTTATCCCCTAACCAACCAAATGCAAATTCTGACCATTCTACTTTGCATTTATAATTTCCTTTATTCTTTCTAACTGCCCTTGCTCCATGAGACACATAAGTCCAATTCTAATCGGGGATAGAGTGAGGTGCAGGCTTCTAGAGCTTAAGTGAGGCTTAGGCTGAGATTTGTTATTTCTACTTTTTACTAAATTTAGAAACTTAAGAGACTTATGTTTTACTCTTGTCAAAATGGAGGGGAAAAAAGATGTATACATCCTATGTAGAGAAGATTCTTTTATTAAAGGCAGAAACTATTATAGAAGTCATATTTGGAAATAATCTATTTACAGGAGAGATTCAGAGAGTCAGGTTATTTTAGAAAAGATCCACTCCAGAACCCATTTTGAAATGGTAATTCCAAGAGGTCAAGAGGTTGTTTCACAATTGCAGGATTTGGAATGGCTCTTTTTTTCCCCTCTATTCAAACTGTCTGATATGACCTTTGGGGGAGAAAATATATAATGACAATAAACATCTAGAGAATACACATCTTCCTTACTAAATCCTCCAAGTATGTGGTTAATAGTTAAGGTAGAGAAAGTTATCTCATGAAAAGTCTCCAATCACCCTGTTCCTACTCTCCAATCACCCTCCCCAAGGTGTTTTTTAAAACTGCCAGTTTTTAGTTTCTTTTTAAAGACCCAATAAACTTCTTAGCACATTTTTAAGAGAGTGATTAGCAAAACTCTATTTGAAGAATATTTTTCAGAACATATCTAAAGCTTATAGGATGCAATGAGCTAGTCCCACAAAAGGTGCATGAGGAAGTTAGCTAGGCTGGTTGCAGGCAGTCAGGTAGGGTCAGGGCGCCCCAACCCAGTAAAACTCAGTATTCAGAAAACACACATTATGCCAAAGCAATGTTTCCAGGAAAACAGACCAAGTAACCTGGGAGACCCAGTGGGCCGCATCCAATGAACAAGTGACACAAGGCCGCATACCCCAATTCTGAACCCCCACCCAGCGCTCACTATACACATATAAACTCCCTCTTGGCCCTCAGTGACTACCCACTTGGCACACCTCTCTGTTCAGAGGGCTCTCCTGTCCTACTTCTTATCTGACAGTAAATTGCTTCCTTTTCTGCCTGACTCTGGTCTTGATGTTGAACAAGTACAGAGAGCCCCTGGCGTCCACCTTCCACACTCCAAGCCCCATTCACTGGCATATGATGTTGGCAATGATGTTCTTTGACAAACGGTCAAGTGCTCGTAGCATTGCATTCTCCTATACACCTCTCTTTGAAAAGGGCAAGTGAAAACTGAGAGGCTGAAATAAGACCAGATGAAATAGCAAGAGGACTGTTTTTGAGAAAGTGCCAGACAAAGGCAAAGTATTCCGTGCTGTTACTGAAATGGGGTTTTAAGGCTGACAAAGAAAGCTAAAAATTAAAGATTCAGGGGTGAAAGTTTAGTAAACAGAGGCACGTAGATATAAAGGTGAAAAGGTAGTGCAGTGAGTCTTGTTCAGGGAATTCAGGCCAGACTTAGGGATCTCCTAGGGCCAGCTATGGTGCTTGGATTTTATTCTCGGTAAAACAAGAGGCCCAGGGAGACTCTAAGGGAGGGAAGAATACAATCTGACTCAGTTCAAATGAACAAATTGAGTAAAACATGCTAGTGTAAAAAAGCCACTCAAATGAGCCCCCTACTTTTTCACACATCAACAAGAAACATATACGAGTTCTTTTCTGAGAACATAAAATTACCCGTTTTCTAGATCCTTCAAAACAGCTATTGAGCTGTTTTCTTACCCTCAGAGTTCCAATGAACCTGTCCTCTTAACCAAGTCAATATTATCCCCTTGCCAGGTTTACTTCTAATACACTTACTAATTGCCTACAGCATGTCAGACACTGGAAGAACTCTCCAGGACTCAGAAAATGAGGTTAAATAAATTGTGTACCCAAATAACACAAGGGATAAAGCAGAAAGCACAACAAGAGTTCAGAACATAAATCACTGAAGCTCAGAAAGATAAGGTTCAATAAACATGGTAGCATTCAGACAGGGACCAGGAAAGCAAGGCTTTGAAACCTCAAAGGCATGAGTATGAGTGGGGTCACTGGGAAAGGACCTACACTGAGAAGAGCAAGTAGTTCAGCTCGGTGAGAACAGTCTCGGAAGGAGAGTGTTAGAGGCGGACGTTAGAAATGCAGGCTGGGGTTGGATGGTTCAGAGTTCTCAAAACCTGGCTTTATCTGAATAGCTCATGAAGATGTCTTAATGGCAGTGTCTCAGGCGAGATGGGATGTGAACAGAGCTATGGCATGAGGAAGATCATGCTGGACGAGGCTAGCGGGCTAAAATGTGGTAAGAAACCAACCTGGGGACCACTGCATACTCTGGCGGAAAGGTAGTAAGTCTTATGAGAACTCTGTGAGGCTGTCATCTTATGAGTCAGTATGAGAAGTTAAGTCACTTTATAAATTCGATCATATATGGGAAAGTCCATGTTGAACCCCTTTCAACATGGAGGTGGGATTATTGCAGCCTTGGTAACAGATGTAAAGATAACATAAGTAAACAAAACTCAGAGATTTCAAGCAAAAAGAAGACTGCCTGGGGGACTATGACGAAGTTGCCTTTAGACACAGTGTGCTTTCCAGGATGTCCAACTAATTCTCATTCAGTTTGTCCATCAGGTGCTCACCTTTTTTTTTTTTTTTAGAGATTTTATTTATTTATACACTCAAGAACCGAGGTACAGGCCAGAGGTGGGGGGTAAGAGGATTCACCAGAGACAGAGTGGGGAACAGAACGACGAATGACTGAAATACACTGCCAAGGGGAACAGTGGGCGGTTCAGGAGAGGTCTGCTGCGCCCTGGCTGGGGATTAAACTCATGCTGCAGTGGCTGTAGACATCTTCATAGTGCTGAGCTTTAAACTGTTGCAGCACCAGGGAGGGAGGGCCTGCTCACCCTGTTTTTATTCACCCTTTGGTACTCAGGTTTGTTCTCTGTTTCTCTGTTTGCTACTCAAGTTCTGAGCACCCAGTTTCCAGCTTTAAATTCATTCCTGCTCTCTCTTGCCCCATCCCCGACATGGTCATGCCCCTGACAAGAGAATTTTGGTTACCACTCAACTGGTATTTTCTTCACACTCCAGAGTGTGTAAGGAAGGCCTCCACAGGGTTTACTTGGCTGTGCTCTATCTATTCCAGTAACTATTGTCCTCTACCTTGTACCCCTTTTTACCCCCTTGGCCCTTCTCTTTGGGCTCACAAACCACGACCTGTGGCCAAGTCCAAGTGGCCTAGTTTTTCAGGAAATAGCCCAAAGAAAACAGACATAGGCTAAGCAGAGATATGGTGGTAAGGTCTTCACACATCACAAATGAAGCATCATTGTGCTCTTTTAATCACACCGGGAAATGTTCATAACAGAACATCTGTCTGTGACATCTATTTACTGATTACTGTGTAAAGCCTTAATTGCTAAGTTGGAACTGATGTATCATGGATGATATTGAAGACAACAGAGGAGGTCCCAGGTCTGTGCAAAGAGGTTGGGTACAAGTAGTTGCAGTAGATACTACACACAGTCATATTGAAAAGGTCAAAAATAAGTCAAAGCCCAAAAAACATTGGGTTCTTAAGAAGTACTTCCCCAACAAGAGAAAATGGAAACCACCCAAACCATCAATTCTGACCAAGGATGAAATTTCACCACAGATGAGAACCAAGGAGATGGTAAACTTGCCAGGAGCAGATGATGTAATGACCACAGTTAATCTAAACATAAAAAAAGGGGCATATTTATATTCTTTTGTTCTTTGTTCAGTTAATGTTCCCCCACTCACATTTTGGTTTTGTCTGTTTTTGTAGGTTGTTTACAAGCTGTCCCAGTTCTATTTACAAAGTGTGCCTGTGGTGTTACATTTTTCCCCCCCTTGTTCTTAACAATGATTACTTCCTTATGTAAATAAATTCAGCTTCTGTCTCAGTGCTTCAGTGGGGTTAGGCCCTTGTATATACTTCAGGGACTCAAAGTGCTCTTCACTCTGAAATCGTGTGTCAGAGCCTAAATGAACAGAGACCTGCAGCTGGAAT